CTTCTCTTCCAAACAATTCGTTGGTGTTGGAGTTGCCCTCGTGACTCCTTTTTTACGTGTTCTCCTCAGGAACAATGTCTGCCAGAGAAACGATGTCTCATGTGTGACTTTGACTAACGCCGCCTGCTGCGCCGAGATAATGAAATGCTGAGCTGTGGCGTGCAGAGCGAGAGGTGCTAACAGCATTTGTCTGAGAAATTCGTCTCTCGTCGATTAAACCGTCCTCTTCAGTTTGTTGAAGCAGGAACAACTATCTCTTTCTATAAGCCACAAACATATTTGTAAACAAATTTGTTCATTTTTACTCGTATCAGGGTGTTGGTTGGTAAAAAGTATGACACGCTAAAGAAAAGAAAAGACCCATCATTAGCCCATTTTAGATTTGTCAGATTAAAATAGAAAGCTCAGGGTTGTGGCAGGGGAGCGATATGTGGTGAAACGACTTTACAGTATAAGAAAAATCAGTACACGCTGACGACCCAACACTGATCCCACAGCAGACTGATGTGGGCCAGACCTGGTGTTAATCTGGGACTATAGCTGATTGCTGGCGTGAAAAATTGGTTTGTCAACCAGATGTGGGCCAGGTTTGGCAATGATGGCACTGTTTTTAGAATGGTACGTGGTTTGGTTTAAGTAGCCCAAATCTATCAGTGCCACAACTGGCCAGGTTACGATTTGGTTTATGTGGTCCTGACCCGTGCGAGGACTATCTCTGGCAAAACCACATCTGGGGCACAATAAGGCCGTCATTTTTTGCGGTATCTGGGCTGGGTGTTGTAGTGTAGGCAACTGTGTGGGCCAGAACTGGGCCAAATTTTGCTAAGCAGAAATTTTTAGAGTTTATGATCAAATCTCTGGATTCAGTCTTCAAAGAGTTGCAGAGGTCTACAAGTTACTTGATGCCTGTGGGTGAGTGATCAAAGATTTGAACAAATTAGTAGGTTAATTAATAGGTTAATTTTCTGTTCCTAGCAAAAAATAAGTTACACACTTTGATACCATGTTTTATTAGCATATACAGGAGAACATGAGATGAATGTATTTACTCTGCCAAAAATACAAGATTAGATGAGTTTTGTTTAAATTTCTGAAGAAGTAAATGATCATAAATGTTGTTTTTCTCCCACCAGCACTAGTCGTGTGATCAGGACAACACGATCTTCCTTATTGCACTCAACTTCAGTTTGGTGTAATTTGTTATCAAAAGCAGCCAGCTGTGGAGTCAAAGTTCACGTCAGTGTTAAGGTCTACATAAAAAAATTGTGTCACATCAAATTAAATGAATATGAAAAGCCTGGCACTTTTTAAAGGAGTGAATATCACCCGCCAGAGTTTTAAACTACGATCATCTTATGTTGAGAATTGAGAAATGATCAAATTGTAGCTGTTTTGATGAAACCTTGAAAATAATATTATGCATAATCTAATCCAATGGGGTTTAATGTCAAATGAATACCTTCTTCGTGAGATATTTTGCTAACAGAGACAAATAAACACGCACAAGCAATGGCATTGTTGCCTAACTATTGCCTTTTAGGGATAGGCAATTGTGAGATTTTTATAGTCAGCAGGAAAATGTAGGTTGGATTTTCAGGTTTCTTTAGAAGCATGGTAGAGGAGCTGAGTGCAGGGGGTCCGGCATTGTGTAACACTGTAGTCGGGCCGGGTCAGAGTGGAGAACAGCGAGGCCAGAAGAGGCCCAGTAAACACATTAATGAGGTTGGAAAGTGGCTCAGACGCGTGCAGTTTGGCGACGGGAACCGTGTGGTTCTGTGGCYGCAGGCTTCGCCCCGTTGGCCTCGTGTCCTGACCTCCAGCCGAGGTCTGTCACCCTCCTCCTCCTCCTCTTCCTCCGCCCCCCATCTGCACCAGCCCTGCGGAGGTGTTCAGAATGCTGAGGAGCCGGAGAGGCTGCATGGCTGGCTTACAAAGGATACTCTTTTTTTTTCTCCCCTCCCCTGTCATTGCTCTGCTCCTCATTGCTTTTCCTCTCTTCCTTTCTCCTCTTCATGTTGTTCCTCCTCACCCCGGCTTTTTCGTCGCTTCCCATCCTTCCCTCGCTGTATTTGTTTCACAAAACCTTCCATTAACTCCTCACTCTTTTTGCGTCACCCCTCCTTTTTGTCAGAAGAACATGTATAATTAACACACACACACACACACACACCTCTAGTTCTCGCCAAAAATCAAACCAAGGCTCAGACCAAGCTTCTCAGCATTTTAATCACCTGTAATGAGCTGGGAGTAATGAATTAAGCTCCATGAACATGAACACTTTCATCTGAACATGGCTGTTCAGATGAAAGTTATGARTTTAGGTCTTACATGCTGTGTTTCACAGCTCATCTTTTTCCACTGCAACCCAGCTTTGCTGCAGCAAGAATCAATCCAACCACCAAAAAAAGCACACACACACACACTCCTGTTCCAGAAGATGGTGTCAGTCCTGCAACTGTAACTGTACAATTAGTGGCACACGACTTCCCACTGTGGGGACTTTTTTTTTTTTTTTTTTTGTCTGCCGCAGGTTTTTCTGCAGCGGCCGACTTCAGAGGGAACAGGCACGCCGCTGTTAAGATGAGCAAGGAGATCTGCAAGCGCGAGGCGTCCCCTGCGACTGGCGAGGCCTCTTTTCATC